GTTTAGGTGGTGGCTGGTGGTTTGTGTTTTTTGTGGTGTGGGTTTTTTTTGTTTGTTTGTTTGTTTGTTGGTTGGACTCGATGATCTCTGAGGTCCCTTCCAACCACTACGATTCTGTGATTCTGTGAAATCCCGTGGAGGTATTCTGCCGTGCCAGGGGTGCAGAGTGGAGGGTTTTGCTGGTGTAAAGAGAAACCCACACTGGCATGGGGAACTCTCACGTGCCTGGGCAAAGCAGGGACCTGCTTGCTTTGCTCACTCCTCCATGATGTGGTACGCGCTGCAGTTTAGCCTCTGTTCCACCCAAGATCTAGAAGACAATGCAGCTATTTATTTACTGAAAGAAAAGAATTCCCTGTTTGCTTTTCCTCTTTTATTTTTAAGATAGGTAAAGAATACTTATTATGTAGTCCTATATTGGAGAGGGGAAAGGCTTCTAATGTTTGAAAATCTTAGAAATCATTTGCCTTGAAGTAATCTGTAAGCATTTAAGAAAAGCGTTGTCTTCGGAGGAACATTTCTGACTAGAAATCTTACTTAAACCTTATCTTTGTTTTGCAGCAGTACCTGAAAAGAAGGAAGAAAGAGCAACAAAAGCAACAGAGAAAGGTAAAAAGAAAACAAAGCATGTTGGCATTATCTCTCTTAAAAGACGATGGCACAGAAACAAAAGACTCAGACAGCTGGATGACAGCAACCTTTAAATCCATTGCTCTGCTAGTACTTGTCAGGGCTCTGCTGTGTTTATCAGAGCAACAGGGAATTTCCAGCAGGAAACTGACTTTGTCCCACTTCCACAAAACTGTAACCCCCACAAAAAGCTTCAGACGAACAAGCTGCCCGCTTCAGCTTAAAGTCCTGTGCTGGGACTTTGTGTCCCATAGATCTTGTGAGGGGCTTCCTGCCCCTGTAGCCTGGCCAGGGAGCTGCCTTTACTATTCTGTCTTAGAGAGTGACTTGCAATGAGGTAAAGGAGTGGAGACCCCCTAAAATCAACTGAGCTGCCTTTCTTATACCCAAAATGAAACATTTGCCCCATGAAGAGACATGAAGGCCCATTGCAGAGAAACCCAAAAGCTTTTGAGAGCAGAACTTTTAGATGTTTTTAGCAAAAATCTTAGGATTGTTTTGGAAGAGGCATAAATGGGAATGTCTGGGAGTGGGAACACCAGAAGAAAAAAGGATACAAGAACTGCATATGTTGATGGCACATAGTTCAGCAGGCCACAAAGTCTACATGCAGTCTCCCAAGCCAACCAGAGCAGGAACACCAAGGGACAGTCTACACCCAGGCTAAAACAAAACTCAAGCCACTGAGTGATGGTGGTGAACATGAAAAGAAAAGGATTGGACCTTCAAAGCACCTAGATAAAGATGTGTCTTTTCCCATTATATACACTTACATTTATTTTTCACCATTACATCCTGCATATCTTCTTCTCATACACTTATTAAAGGCAATCCATACTTTTTTAGGTTAGTATAGTAAGGAGCAAAGTAGTAAAACGCTGGCGTAAAGACCCAAAGTTTACCAGCTCTGGTGTCCTTCATATGACATGCATCCTAATCTATTGTGTTTTGTTACTGTCTACCAAGGTGATTTTTGTATTTACTCATGCTCAAATTGGCAATTACAGCCTCGATGATGAATTTGGCATTTTCAGTCTTGTTATATGGGAGTTTTTCCAAACTTACCAGTAACCTTTAGAATAAAGTATAAGACGTATTTACTGATGTAGCTTTGGTCAGTTGGGCTATTATCCCTTTGTTTTCTCCAGTTTCCCAGCTTCAGCCTTACCCAGCATTACTCAAGTCAGAGCAGGCGCCCTGCAGCAGCTGGCAGCTGCTCGTTAGTTGTCATGGAAAATGTTATAATTAGGTAGGCCTTGGCCTAGATTTCAGTCATTGTTAGTCTGGGTATCTCCACACTCTTTTCCATTGCTGTACGAGTGCTTCCCCAGCCATCTGCACTGCTTCCCCTCTGTTTGTCTCTCTCATGCAGCATTGAGGTGGTGTTTGCTGTAAGATTTGTCCCTGCTACACTGGTGCCACTATTGGATGGGACTTCCTCTGCGAAATATTTCCACTGTGCCATAAAAAGCACAGACTGAGTGGTACAAACCATAGTTTCACATGGTTGGCATTGAGCAGAGGTTTCTAAAGCATCGGTTGTGATACCTGGGGAGCTCAAAAGGGGAGCAAACTATTTCTCATGACAGCAGTCAGCACCAGCAGCACTATGTCCCCATGCCAACAGCCATCTCCTTCCTGCAAGATGAAGGAGTAAGAGCAACGTGTAATGTCTATCACAGCTATTTCTGCAGCTCCTTCCAAGTACTGGCAGCATCTCAGTTCCTCTGCTGCGCAGCAGTGAACATAAACACTTTCAGACAGTGCTTGCCTCTGCTTCTTATTTCTACACCTTATTTGCATGGAGCTACTGCCAAGACATTGATCCCTCAAAGAAAAATGAACCAAAAACAATTTCAGGAAGTTTTTGGAATATTAGCATGTACTTATATTTTTCATGGAAGAGTAAAATCTAAGATGATGGAAGTAGCTCTGAGTTATGTTTTGAGTTACCTGGAATCAGTACAGTTTTCTCTTATCTGGAAGATTTGAGGAAAAGTGAGGACTCTTTTTTTCTTAATCAGGAAAGTATGAATGCACCAGGAAAAAGTTTTTAAACTGAAAGGGATTTTTAGACTGAGAAGTGGAATAATATGCTCTGCTAGCTATTGTACATGAGGATAGATACCAGAAAGTACAGGGATTCAGACCTGCTCAAAGTTACAATTTGCAATTTAAAAGAAACAGTAAATATAAGGAGAATTGCAGGAAAATCTGGAGTGTTTGCTGCACGAGTTATTTAGCAGCCAGGACATAGCTTCATTGTTGCAAACTTGAAAGTTCCAGTGATCAAACATGCTATTGCAGCTTTGACCTCAAATCCCTATGGTCTGGAAACGGGCTAACAGGTTGTAGCAACATTTCAGTTCACTAATCTTTTGTTAGTAGTAAAACAAAGTTGCACGTAACATTTTTAACGGTTAAAAGGAGAGCAAGAAGGCAGAGAACTGCCAGAAGCATCTAGCAAAAGTGCTTTAACTCTTTGCCATATTTGTTTGTAAAATTGCATGAGCAAGTGTCAGACGGTTGCCTAGAATTACTGCCTGTTATTAAGGCCACTGAGAAATAATTCTTAAAAGAGGAAAAGGTAAATATTTTTTCTTATGATATCAACTAGTAGTAAGAAAGGAGTTAATTACCATCAGTTAAAGCAGGTTGTATGAGACTGTTTTTTTTCTTTAACTCTTTGCCATATTTGTTTGTAAAATTGCATGAGCAAGTGTCAGACGGTTGCCTAGAATTACTGCCTGTTATTAAGGCCACTGAGAAATAATTCTTAAAAGAGGAAAAGGTAAATATTTTTTCTTATGATATCAACTAGTAGTAAGAAAGGAGTTAATTACCATCAGTTAAAGCAGGTTGTATGAGACTGGTGTTTTTTTATGCTCGTATTGCATGTCTGCAAGGTACTAGGTGGGAAACATGAACTTTTTTCCCTGTCAAGCAACCATGGAGTGGAAATCACTTCTGAGATATATTTAAGCACTTAGGTAAAATATATATTTAAATACATTTTTATTAGCTGATTGTATTAAAAATAATTTCCAATGCTAACATGTATTCTAATATTTTTGTTTTCTTTTCACTCTTTCTTCCCTTCTCTTTCCTCAGATAAACCAAAGACGAAACAAGGAAGTAAGCTATAGTTTTACATATATATATATATGACTGATAACTCCCTATAACTGGTAAAGAAACACCAGATTTATAAATGAAATAAAAATGTATAATTGCAAACTTCAGTTGACAAGACAAACTAGAACTGATTCAACAAAGCTGATAATAGTAATAATGGATATGTTAAGAAATTCTAGTCTGTTTTAGGCAAAGTTTCATCCCAAAGCTGTATATTCATCCTTGGTAAAAGGAAGAGACTTGTGCAGCGTCATAACAAAAAAAAAAATAATTTTAAAGTTTAATTTTTTTATTTTACATACCAAATTCTTCTCTCCACAGCTGCTAGGCTTGCTACTGAGCTCAGTTATGTATTCTGATGTCAATATAAGCCTAACATGCAAATCAATACAGAGCAAGTAACACAAGGTTCTTGTCATAGGATTTGTGCTACAAGTTGTCATTTTTCCAAGTTATGGCAGACTGTCCAACAGACCTCAGTAAATTCAGTCCTACAGAATATGGCCAGTGTTTATTTACACTTAAATTTCCTATTTCCGGGTCAGTCAGCTTTGGAGACCTTGGTTTCATCAGCCCAGACTGATGATCTCACATTTTGTCTGAAAGAGAATTCTTATTTTTTGTATGGTTCAAATTATTTCTTACGCCTTTTACAGTGGACTGCTGTTCCTCATACAGCATCTGGCAAGGAGGGTGTTGCCTAGCCATCTCCAATACTTGTCTGTAGGCAGAATAAAAAGAGCTATTCGTATTCCTATTTGTCACTATTGTGTTGTGCTCTCAATCTGATACGCATCTGACACTTAGAAATGTTTCAATAAGGAGACTCTTGGACTTGCTCAGCAAGAATGTACAATCCCAGATGAAGGAAATAGGCCACAGACAGTTCTGATGAGTCAGACTTTGCAAAGGGTCAGTTTTGTGCTTTTTAAGTAAGTTGAAAAACTATTCTTACCCCATATTAAATTGAAGTTTGCAAATTTTGTAGGCTTCATAGTTAAATTGATAAAAACACATTTGGTAGACTGAACTCTCTGAATGGAGAATTCACCTGGAAACAGGTGAATTTTTTACGACTCTTCCAATCACTCATTTTTTCATTCTTTCTTCTAATATACTGTTATAATCTCTAATATGATCTGGATGCTTCATTCTCTCTTACCATTAAATCTCATAATTTCACTTGGTTATGGCTTCTGACTGTCACTTTATCGGTCTGGATGCTTCTTTTACAGATCCTGGAAAAGAGAAAGTATTGAAATCTCCAGCTGCTACAAAAGATAAAGGTAACACAGCAGAACAATATTGTCTAAAGCCCTAAGATCTATGTGCATCAAGAAAAAAAAAATCTTACAATGTATTGGCCTTTTTGTTTTTATGGTATAGTTTAGTTAAGAATTTATGAGCATAATACTATTTCAGTAAATTTATGATAAAGTTTAATTGGCATTACCTTGATCAGAAGTGTGAGTCTTTGCAGTATGGAACATCTGTATGAAAACTTAGAAGTCCAAGCTCAGAATTTAGGAACACTTGTTAACATTTGCAAGGTGCAAAGTGGAACAAGTTTTGAGTGATCTCTGTTCTTTCATCACACTTAAGAAAAATTCGTGGTTTCACTTTGTGAGCATACTAAAACTGATGAAATACAGTTTTGTAATACGCTTTTAATTGGTATCATGGCTCAGTTAGAAACTGCCAATTACTCAATCAATCATTATCCCAAAGGTATTAGATGTTAACCTTTTATCACTCTAGCTTGAAGATTAATAAATTATTTTTACAGAACCTGCTAAAGAAAAGGAAAGAAAGAATCCTACAGCTTTAAAAGATAAAGGTAAGAATACACAGTAGAATAGAAAACTTGTTGAAAACCGCACAAAATAGAATGAAGATATTAATTTAAAAATAATCATTATAAATCTTTCCCATTATGAATCCTAACCAACCAGCATTTCTTTAGTTACAATTTCTACAGGATTCATAACATGAAAAAAGCGGGGGGGGGAAGGGACATAAATAGAATATGGTGAGTCAATTAACATCCGTGTGTCTCAAAATTAATTAAATAAATATCACAAAACCACTTTGAGTAATGATTAAGAACTTTCCTAAGAACTTTCTCTCCTGAACAATGTAAAGTGTTTCATAGGAGCTAGTTAAAAAAGCCTGAACTGAACTCTTGCATAAATCTGTGGACATAATAGGAATAAAATACAATTTATGAGCATATGAGTGGATAATGTGCTTTCTGGGCTCTATAAAAACTATAGTTGAAAAGTTCATCCAGTCAACCACCTGCAACATAACAGTTGATCTGAATCTTTCTTTCATTCCTTATTTTTTATCACAGTTCCAATGTCTTTTTTAATTTGGTCAGAGTTGACAGTTAACTCAGCTGCATTTCCTTTCATCTGTTATTTTGCTGGATGCTTTTTACCCATCTTATCACTTCCCTTCTTTCTAGAGATAGCTGAATTTGAAAGGAGGAGAAGTGACTTATGAACAAGTTTATTTTAAATGTTCTTTAGGTTCTTCAGGATAAAAAGATCTACCATATGGATAGACACATTAATACTTATTCTTAATTATAGTCATTATATGCTATTTCAAAGAAAGATCTGAATGAAGAATGAACTGAAAGAACTGAATGAAGAATGAACTGAATGAAGTTCAAGCACTATGGAAAGATGGAAAAAAATGTAAAACAAAAGGATGAATAATCTTAATGCTAAACATATTTTAAAAATCCTGGGTACTATGTTCATTCACTCATGTTTAATTGGGCAATAACTAATGAATCATTTCTTTACAAACAAATTAAAATTAAATTATAATAATCTGTAAATCCCATAGTTGATGTATTGTACTTCTCTGTGTTCTGCTGCTGCTGCATCTTTCTGTACCATCTCCCTAATCTGACCCAGCTTCCCCCTGGAGTGAGATGCAGGAGGAAGAGGCAAGGTGAATGTTGGCTTTAAGCCAACTTCATGTTTTTCTCCTTGTGGGACCAGCACGAAAGTGGTCAGTCAAGAGCAGAAGTTTGAAAAGTCTTCAGTGAGTCCCTGTTTAAACCCCTGAAGGTGAAAACCTGCTCCCTGGAAGGCAAGCAGGACTGGTGGTCTCAGTAGCCTTGGCTCAGAGGGTGGGGAGGTTAGTGCACCATGGAAAGCATCCTGCATTAATAGCTGCATCCAAAATTTGTAAGAGTCAGAAATGCAGAACCTGCTTTAGGAGCTGCAAATCATAGGAAATGACAAAAAAAAACCCCTCATGGCTCATGCCACCAAACCAACAAGGTCAAAGGCAGTGATTTGTGCCTGTGGCTGTAATAGTGGCTGCTGATCTCTGACATCACGAATGTGCACACAGAGTGAAATGGTCAAGTTGGGGAGCTGTTGGCTCAGGCTTCCTATATAGTCCACACAGATGCTCCTTCAAAGGGCTTCAGAGTCTGGGAACTATCTCTTGGTCCCCTGAAGTAGCCCCCTTGCGGGGAGCTGTTGGCTCAGGCTTCCTATATAGTCCACACAGATGCTCCTTCAAAGGGCTTCAGAGTCTTCGCACTGGGAACTATCTCTTGGTCCCCTGAAGAAGCCCCCTTGTTGCTGTGAATACCAGGATCCTCACTTAAGTACCCCTGGATGGTGTGATTTCTCCAAAGGCTTCCGCTACCTTGGAAACAAAGTTTTTCTGTTACAACTCACACTTAAAGCCAGACGGATAAGTGGGATCATTTCTTGGTACCCTGGCAGCCAGAAGGATGATCAATTTTTAATTTATTTTGGAAAGTATCTTCTTTTAGCGTTATCTGGTTTTACTGAAGGTTTGGTTAACTTTAATTTGGAATAAATGGCATATTTTTACCAGATGCTTAGGTGCTATATCCTGTCAGATGGAGTATAATTTGATCTACTGAGCATCCTGCAAGCTGTGATATTCTTTCATTTAAAGCACATACATTCATAAACCTATGAAATAAGTTCCTCACTTTGGAAAAAACAATTTCCTCCTGATATTCCCTGATATATACACTTAAGAGGTCAAATAACTTAAAAAAAAATTAATTATATATTAGCTTTTCCTCTGCTTGCTGACCCTAAACGCCATAAACCTATGAAATAAGTTCCTCACTTTGAAAAAAACAGTTTCCTCCTGATATTCCCTGAAATATACACTTAAGAGGTCAAATAACTATTGCATTAAAAAAATTAATTATATATTAGTTTTTTGTACACATAATGTCAGATTTTCCTCTGCTTGCTGACCCTAAACGTATGCTAAAATTAGGCTTCAGCCCATCAAAGAAAACAGAATAATGTATCTTCATGAAGTCTTGGATAAGGCCCTAAGATTTTCAAATTCTGCGTCTTTACTTATATTTTCCCCTTCTCCTTTCTAGCTTCTCCCTTCTGTGAGGTGTCCACAGAGTGATCTATAGTAACTGCTACTGTTTCATTTGCCACTAACACTATTGCACCTTAAAAAAATATAAGATGGTCACTAGAGAGGATGTAATGACAGGTCAAGGTTGCATCCATTTATATTCACAATTTTAGTCTTAATTTTTGAATATTTGTTGCATTTCCTTTTAAATGTAAAAAGGCAGTCTATCTTCTAACTCTTAAAAACTTAATTACCTCCCTACAGATTCTCTAAAAGGAAAAAATCCCAAGAATCCAGAGGAGTCAAAAGAAAAAGGTAAGTAAAGCAGTCAAGAAATTCAGAACTGAATATCAGAACAGCTGTTCAACGCTACAAACAGGACTTGAGAAAGAACATACGAGGATAAAAACCAAACCCATCCTGGTTCTTGTTTAGATTATTTTATCCATGGTACTGTTTTTAGCATTTGTGCTGTACAGTTCCCCAGTAGGGTCACTAGTAACTACCTGGGCTTCTTTTAAATGCAGAGGTTTGAATTTCCATCCTGGGGGAAATACTAAAACGTATTTTTATACCACCTTTTGATGTTAGTCTGTCAAAAACAAGTTATCTAAGGCTCTTGGTGGGAACATTCCTGCAGGGAACTAGCCTAAATCTGGTTTATGTGGCTATGGCTCAATAGCGAGGTTGACGGAGGCTCTTGACAGATGCAGGTGTTTGAGGGTGACGAGTATGTCAGGGATTTCTCCTAATTTATTTGCAATATGGACACATGTATCTCTAATATTTTCAATTGCAGGAGGCTGGTCTGCTAGCTGTGCACACAGAGGTCACAAATTGTTTGATAGTGTCTAGTTGTTGCAAGTGTGATGTCTATTGAACGCTAAAGCAAAGAATTATGGGATTCATGGGGACTGATGATCTGAAGAGTACTGAAACTCTGAAGAGTACTGAAAATTTCAGGGAAACAGAATTTCAGGGCTAGCAGAGCTATGCATGGTTCCTGACCTATAAAAGCACATCTGAGGTCCAAATTGTAGCAAAGTCCCATTTTTTGGGAAGCTGGAGATATTCAATGCAGTCCTGACAATGACTAGCACAGTGCAGAATACTGAATAGGCGTACAGCAAAGTGATGCACTTCTGGGAAGAATGTGTTATTCCTGGTGAAAGCTCCAGGGGAACAAAACCAGGGTGCCAGTGGTGCTCAGGATTCTCCTCTTTGTCACTGTTTTCAGTACAAGTATCTCACCTGCACACCACAACAAGCTCATATTTTTCCTTTCTTTGTGCCTAGCCACCTTCTGGATTTTCTTTTGTCCTGGGTTCTGTCTTGTCAGGTACAAGGAAAAGAGAATGAGAATATAAATGATTTTTCTCATCTCCTTTAATATTTTTCATATGCTGCAGAAAAATTAAAGATACAATTATGTTCTTGGACTATTCATTGTGATATAAAATATATGAATGTACATTTGAAGGATGAACACTGCTCTTATTTTATACCCAGCTTGCCTGTGATTTTAAAAGGCTATATATATGCAGGAAGAAAAATCCTGTTCACAGGCAATACCCATATGGCCTCTTTGATATTAAAAGAATAATGGAGTCCTAAATGAGTAACTGGTCCTTTTGTCACTCCTGAATAAAGAAAACTCCCACTTACCTTTATCAGCAACCTCTGGCTTTCAGGATCAGTATTCCTAATATTTTAATTGCATCAGTGTAGATTAATTTTTTATTTGGGTTCAGCAAAAGAAAAATCCACTGATGCCAACTGCTCTACAGAATTGCTTTCGTCTTTGTAAGTTATTATTCTTCATTGCCTACTTGAGAGACAGCTTAAGAGTTTCCCCAAAAATGCAAAACTAATGACATATTGAAGGCTTATTATTTTGCATATCCAAGTCTAAAAGGATGAATGAATGACCTCGTTGGTTCGTCCTGTTCTTTATTTCTGTGCTGTTAAATCCATTTAATTATCACATCTTTTCTGCTCTCTACATATCAAATTGTTTGACTTGCTTTCTTTTCAAGTGTCATCTTATTTCTCTAACCTGACTTGTGATAAATGTTAAATGTTTCTTTCTAGAGACTGGTAAAAAAAAAGATGTGAAGCCTCCAGCAGCATTAAAGGAAAAGGGTAATGTCTTATCATTATGTGGTTGGGAAATAACCAGTTGTTCCTCGTGAAAGAGTGTGCTGGTATCTCAGTGCAGTTTCAATATATTTTGAATTATAGGCTTTTGGTGAAAAGGAACTCAACCTAGCTTTTTCTCAATTCATAGATCTGATACTTTGAAAGGAGTAGAGTTTGGCATGATTCAGAAATAATAAAATCATTAACCCTTATTGTGGTGTTCTTTAACCGCTGTCTGACCTGCACAGCTAATATTGCAGCTGGAATCAGTAACAGAGCTGTTACTGAACCCGCACGACAGGCCAGAATGACAGGCTGCTTCAACTGCAGAAACTTTCCCAGCTCATTTAGTGGGAATTATTTTTGGTTTGCTTTCACATCTTAAGTAGAGCCTCTTATTGAAGTAAACAGAAATTCTAATTCTTAACGTTTATCTCTTTCTCACCTTTTGCTTATTCTGGTGTTATGCGCGTTTGGTATAGTACTGATGGACATTGTATATACTTATATTACTAATTTTCTGCTTCCATTTTTGTGTTTGATACCTTTTCCAGACTCTTCAAAAGGAAAAGAAATGAAGGCTTCAACTACAACTAAGGAAAAAGGTAACAATCCCAAATTGAGCTGAGCCTTAGCATAAGATTCAGTTGAGAAAATAGATCGGTTGTGCAAGTATTCTCAAAAGAAATCCTATTTCTTCAATTCATCCATAAATATCCTTGACTGGCATCCTCTGTTGCTAGGCTTTTTTTTTTTTTTTTTTCATCTGGATGATAAATGAGAGATACATATGGGACATATAAGGAAGTTGTAGCTGTAGTACTTCATAGCCCCCTAAGTTATGAGGACTTGTTTTCTTCTTTCTTAATTTTGCCTAATTCTTTCTATTTAAATTTGTCATTTCAGATTGCATTTCATTTTTTTCTATAACACATTATTTGATTATGCTTTGCTCTCTCTTCTTACATTGAAATATCAGCACTAGCCACCAAATAAAGATTAATTATAATTTATAGTACGTGACCTCTTAAATACTAGGAATTTTTAGGTAGTGAAAAAACTGTAACTGTAATTAATTAAATACTTTCAGGTTTATTTATTCATATCAACTAAATGAAAACAAAACTTAGCTTTACTTTGAAACTATTTGCATATTGATTAAATACCACTTGCTCATTAGAAAGCAGTCTCTCAGGTTAAATGTGTAAATAATTTAACGTGGACAAGAATATGTAATAACTTGCTAACAAATAACAGTCTTTGAGCCATGGGAATATAGTAGTCAATCTTAAAAACTTCCAGTCAGTTTTGAAAACTACTTCAGATAATTGAATAATATTACTTCCTATCTTTAGATTTTCCTTAAGGATCACTAGAAATAATGTGGCAATATTTTCTCTGACAAAGTTATGAAAGATAACATTTGCAGGTTTTTTTAGTGCCCCTATTTCACATAGTGTATGTAGATAGTATGTAGCAGAATTGTAGAGATTGGCTCTAACATTGCACAGTTGTATCATTGTGAAGCAGAGCGAAGGATTAAGTCCTACAAAAGAGACCAGGGCTTAAGCAGTCTGAAATCCTTTGAAGTAGTTGAAGTAGATGAACCTGGATTGTCAGCCCAAGGTCAAGGAAAAACAGGGATGCATTATTGTACCATTTCTTTTAATTCACTTGAGTCAATAGGGAGTACTGAAGTACTGGGGGCTGGGGGGTGTCTAGTGATTATTGATTTAATACAACTTGGCTTTTATGTTTTGAGCTTCAGGCAAGCAAAGCCTTTGGGCTTCCTGCTAGGTTCTTGCAAACATATCTGTGAAACATAGGTAGGTTAATGAAGAGTTAAACTTTGATTAGACCCTTAAGTATTTGACTATTGAGCTTCCTACCAAGTTACTTATATAATTTTTTGCTTCAGCTCTCTGTAAATATTTCAGGCTTGAAGACTGATTTATTTAAATTTAAGTGATAATAAAAGTGAAATACTATTTATTATGAAAGATCAAGTATTATAAAGAAGTAATACGTGTCTGTAAGAGTTCAGTAGCTACACTGCTAATGGATTAGCTTCAGTGAAGTGTCAAACCCCCACCCAACGGTACAGAAAAATAACTATTTCTAAAGGAGTTAATTAACTCAGTTTGATCAGCCAGTGAAACAACTGGTGCCTAACAGCTCCTTTCAAGTGGAAAAACTGAGTTCATTCAAGAAAGGACATGTTTAATTAAACATTGTAGAATTTCACTGACTGCACATGAAGTGGTTTATGCTCAGTATATTTGAGAACGAAACTCAGTACCCTGAAGCGATTAGCTTCACTATCTCTACTTTTTTTTATATAAAATGAAGTTTTCTTCCCATAGTAGTTGATAAGACATAGGCAAGATTTTCCTTATGCCATAGCAGTAGAAAATACGAGCTGTGTTCCCAGTGAACTTTCATATCACACAGAATTGTTGCACACAGGCTAACTTTTTTTTACCTATAGATTAAAACACTCTAAGAGATAGCTGTGTTCCCAGTGAACTTTCATATCACACAGAATTGTTGCACACAAGCTAACTTTTTTTACCTATAGATTAAAACGCTCTAAGAGAGGTAAAAGATTCTGTAGTGTTGGGTCACCTTGCAGTCTTATAGTTTTCTACTTGTCAAGATACAAGAAGTAAGATCTGCATGGTTTGTGCAGAGTATTCAGAGTTTAACTCTACTGCAGTACAAGGTCACATCAGAACACAAATAGCCATGGCTGGGATGAAGCCTGAACTGGAACCAATTGTTTTTATAGTAACAGCAGGATATTTGGATGAGCAATGCCATAATTTAGTAGGTGCTAATAGTACTGAGTCTGCACAGCCTTTACCAGCTTCCCAAGTGAGATGAGCACTGCTCACTTTATTTTCTCTTGTGGCCAGCGTGCAGCCCTGCACGTCACCTGTGGATGTGCTTGATGGCTTGCACACCTCACTGAAGGCAACTGATGTCTCACAGCAGTGAAAGCATTTCTCTTTGACTCTAGCTGGCTCTATAAGAACTTAAAATGTTTGGATTAGATGCTGTCAGACAAACAGCTGTGAAAGCATTTCTCTTTGACTCTAGCTGGCTCTATAAGATCTTAAAATGTTTGGATTAGGTGCTGTCAGACAAACGATCAGGCCAACTGCCTTCTTTTCAAGCCTTGTGTGTCTTAGTTAGGTCTGTAGAGTGACTGCTCTGAGCAGGACTCCATATCCTTCAAGGTCCTGGAGCAAGAATGCAAAGGAAGAGTGCAACTTGAGCGGGAAGGTCTCATGTACAGTGATGCCACCCTAGTGTCTACTATAGGATTCAGTCATTTTCTAGTCACTGAAGTTCATGACAAGGCAAATCTTATACAAGCTCACTTTGAAGGCAGTTCAGCTCAGTGGCTGCAGGATTTTAAAAATTGTTTCTGTCTTTTCCTGTTCCACGTGACAGATCTTCATAAGCCTTTTCTTAGCTGCTGGGATTCATACAAATGCAGCACTTCCAAAACCAAATACAACTAACTCAGTGACACTGAATATGTATGACAAGACATTGACGTTTTGTCAGAAGAGTGTAACCCCAATGCACAAAGTGGCTTTAAGCATCCATGTGGGATGCTGTGCTTCACTAAACCTCTCTTTCTTAACAACAATAAGTGACATGTCACATAGATCAGACAGTTTGTGAAAAGCCTCTGTAGGGAAAAGCGTTGCAGAATTTTTGTGGCCATTGCCCTGTAAAGAAGTGCAAACAGGAGGTCACTTTTATGAGTACTGGTACTTTTTTTAGCTGAGTGAGAGTACACAAAGAACTTCTTCAACGGACATCCCAGTTTAAACTAGCCAACCACAAAACGCCCTGAGAAACAGCAGGGGTTTGATTAGCGCTTCCACTTTACAGAGATTTGTCAAATCCAGTGTAAATTGCATTTATAAATGTGGCCACTGTGGAACCCCTTTGCTAAGACAAATACATTTTTGAAATGTGAAAGTTGACAAGCTGGATATAAAATTGCAATAGAAAATCCCCAATAATAAAGAACCTAAGTGTCAGGTAGATGTATTAGGTATCTAAAAATTACAATATCATCCAGTTCAAATGGTCCTTCCATTACAGAATGTCATTACTGAACATTGCTGATAAGAAATACTCCAAGAAAACATCAGAGCTTTAAAAGTCAGACACTAAGATAATGACAGATATATAAATACCAAGACAGAGTCGTAGTGGGAGGTATAAAATTCCCATTGTGAGTCAGCACTTCTCTGTAAAAAAATCTTTAACAGACATTAAAAATTACAGAAAAAGATCAGAAATAATATGAATAATGTGAATGAATATCATTTTATAAAAGGAAGGAGATAAAATTTTTATTCCAAAAAGCAATTTATATAAATTAAAGATGAGGCATGTTTTATGGCAAACTAAGAAGTGTAACATTGTCCTTATGGTTTGATACTTGATTATTTAAATTTTTTTTTTTTTAAGGAAAATATTCAAGCTGAATAAGTAACACCTGCATATATATGTATAAAATACACATTCCAAAGTCAAAACAGGTTTGTAAATGAAAGTACATCTACTGATACTTCAGTTATTTCCTGGAGGTAGGGACTGTTACATGCTGGGACTCCCAGATCTCCATAATAGCACTCTGAAAAGTCCTCTGAATGAATGCATAACTTGTAACTTTTTATTTATATATGTTTATGCAATAAAACAAAATTCTCATTGCATAATATTATTATTTCACATAATATTTGAGACCAGAAACCAGGATTCTCTCTGGGACAGTGAGCTTCTCACAGCTCACAGAATCAGGCTCCCTCTGTTTTATTGCCATTTTATGGCCCAATTGCACCATTTTTTGCACAGATCCAGAAAACTGTCCCTCTCCAAAAGCTTTGCAATCTCTCTGAAAAGCAAGACCGGCAGAGAGAGATTTGCACCCTCTGATGTGGAGGGGTCAGGTCCCTGGGTAGCTCTGCCCCACTACTTTTGCAATATTTTCAAGCCGAGATTTGTGCCCGTCTTTGGGAGAGTGCTTGAATGAATCCTCACGTGTGGGGAAACATCCCCTCAAGTTTCAAGGACTCAGACAGGGATGGGAGAAATCAGTATTTCTCGTTCCTTTAGTACTAGTATTTCTAGTTCCTTAGTGAGAGGCTGGGGACCAGATTCCACACACAGTCAAAGGGGTCTCACAGGGGAGTCCAACTCAAAGGGGAGTTGGACTAGATGATCTCTATGGTCCCTTCCAACTCTAGAAATTCAGTGAAATAACTCACTCAGGAAGGCAACCCTTCTCTTACCGGCTCTACCCAGGTGGTTGGTATAACTTGTGTTACTTTGAGAATGTGCTTGTGTATTCTCGTTAAGGCATTGATCACACTAAAGAGAAAAACACTTGATCACACTAAAGAGAAAAACACTGTAGAATTTTTGGAGATTATCTAGTGAATTAAATTTTTCTTAATAGGTCTGACAGCTATGTCTTACAAATTAAGACAAAAAGGATAGTCAGGTTATGCAGGGGAGTTCAACCACAACCTCTTCCTTGCCCATTAATAATTAAATGCACGAAGATAATTGAATAAGAAGCTATTTCTCCCAACCTGTTCATTAAAACTTGGACCAGAGGAGGAAAAGGGCAGGAAAGGTGTTTCCTGCTACTGAATGAAAATCATTCTAAACACAGATGGTCCAGCCAGTTCAAATTCTAAATTCTCCTCTCTGTTGCTCACTGTACTGGTTCTTTCAACTGTGGTTTCTTAAAATGATTAAAGTTACTCTTGATATGAGTAAGAGTAATTCTGAACTCAGAAAGAATGGGAGAGAGAGGTAAAATATCTGTTAGGAAGACCTGAGAGATAAAGATCACTTTATATAGTTCTTAAATATTTTAAATCCATACCTACTTCTTAAGCTATGAACAGATGGACAATTTACGGTGAGATGGGCAAAGATGGTAGCAACTTAGTGAATGCCAGCTGCTTTGCTGTAGCTGCCTACATGCGGTGGGTTTCACTTCAGCATAACAGAATTTATATGAACAGTTATCACAGAGTACCTGACAGAGGGGATGAGTCTGCATTTGATCTTGTTTTATGATAACTTCCATGTCCATAGCCAAAATAAATGTAAGAACTTAGACACTTCCACCAACTTTAGCTAAATCAGTAACTGTCTGTCTCAAAGTGTCAGGGCAAATACAATATTTTAAATTACTCTAGAGTTCTTCAGAGGTTTAAAAATCAGTCAGAAAATCTGTGAAAACATGGTCAAAGTCAGAACAAAACCAAATATTTGGGAAATCATGTGACAGAGAACTAGCCTGCGTGGTTTCTGCAAAAGGAAATTATACCTTAGTAATAAGTGTATTGAACATCTTAACAAAGTAATAAGCACAGCTTTTATGGGATGTTTTAAATAGGCCTTTGCAAAGTTCCAGTATAAGAATTACTGCAAAAACTAAGTAGCTGCTGCCTTAGAGGCCCAGTATTGAAGGAAATAAATTTCTGATTAGCAAGCAGAGAGCAATTGATTCATTTTCATCTTTAAGCCCGTTTACAGAATAATTACTTATGATTCCATGTCTGGACTCATGTTATATTCCTTAATTAACAGGAAAAGATAGAAATAGTAATGTAATGAAATTTTCAGAAGACATAGTATTAGTTGAAGAATTCAGGATCAGAAGGGGCTGTGATACACTGAATTTACAAGATGAATGGACAGCATGATGGAAACAAAAATGTAAGGTCAATAAATAAAATGTAATACGTACTGGAGGGAAAATATTAAAGAATAATTTATCTCTAAATTAACTATGTAGGTTCAGGAAAGGACCTAAGTATTATTGCAGACAAGTCAGTGAAGAACTTTCTTCATGCACTAGGAAAAATGCATATAGTGCTCTAAGGTCATTGTATAAATCAAAGATGCATCTTCTCTGAAGTGTTGTGTATAAAACTCTTACATGATAATGTGGTACTGGAGTAGGCTAGGAAAGAGCAACGAAAGTGTTATGGAAAGAGAAATAGTGGTACTGGAGTAGGCTAGGAAAGAGCAACAAAAGTGTCATGGAAAGATTCAGATTACCTTTGAGATTAATTAGCACTGTCATAAGATTGAAAATTACGAATCTAAGTCAAGGACTCTTCAAAAACACCACAGAGGAACGGGATTCTTTAATTAGCACTGTCATAAGATTGAAAATTACAAATCTAAGTCAAGGACTCTTCGAAAACACCACAGAGGAACTGGATATCTGTATGGAAATGTAGTTTTCATAGCCCAAATTTTCATAATTAATTACTGTATATTTAGAAAAGAAGTTAAATTTCATATCTCACAATGGAAACCAACTGCATGTTATAAGAAAATAACAGGTAAGCTTGTGAAAGAAATAACTTCGACAATATTCAGACTAAATATCTGTTCCTGGTGGCTGCTGGGTAATAAAACTAAACAGAATGGACTATTGTTGAGTAGAAAACTATGTTTTCAAGATTTTTGGTGGTTTTGAGACATTTTAAGGATTTCAGAAATGATTCTGTTCGCTGAACAGTCGGAAACAAGTCCCTTAGAACCATTACTATCTACAGGTTTACAGAAATGCTTGTGACCTAGAATCAAGTTTCTGATACAATTAAAAACAATACAATTTTCCTTAGCCTGATGGGGTTTTTTTCACTCTCATGAAATATTTACTATATTGACACACTTTTGTGACCTGTCCACCACTGGAAATTTACCTTTATTTTCCCACCCCACTGAAAAATTTTTGAAGTCCTGACATGGATTTGGTTCATAAAGATTTTTTCCACCCCCATTCTCAAACACAAAAGAGGTTGTTGCTCAATTCTGACTTCTGTGGTAGTTATCAATCTGGAATCAACCCCTAGAAATGGGAAGAAATATCTGGAAAAAAATATATTTTGCTTCGTATTTTATCTGTATTAGCTAGAAATGTATAATTGGATTTGGATAGGTCTAGGAAAAGAAGACAGGTGGTGAACTGGAGTCACTGTGGTCGTTGGTACAGTCCTTTTTGAACAGGGTTGTAGGTACAAATTCCTAAGTCGAGAACCAGATCATACCTCTCATCAGTACAGTGCAAAAAAAGTTGGCTTAAGAATTTACTCTTTCCCCAAATAATGAAGGTAAAAAAGAACACAGCCAAGAGCATCTCTCATATCTGAGCATCACATTCTCTAGTTCTAATTTATTTCATGTGCTTCCTTGCTCAGCTACAATACATTACTCACATGTGTTCTCCACAGGTAATCTGGCTTTTTATCAGTTGTAGACCAAATTCCTTGGCTAATCTATCTTTATGCTGCATTTCAGTTACAAACACATTTCTCAGCTTCTGAAAGAGCAATGTAATGATGATGCTTGTGCACTTTTTCATTTATTCCTTGTCATTTTAAGTTTGAATAACAGGATTTGATCAGAGCAGTGCTATTGGCAACAGTAGTCAGAATGAGGTCTTGTCTGTCTCTTAAGATTTGTCGAGTGTTTACAGTACATTCTATAGGAAAAACTATGGCCAAGGTGAAAATTCAAACAGATGTCACAACAGGATATAATAGCATAATAGCAGAAATTAGTGAGCCATAAGTGCAGTGGCAGACACAGACAGACCTTGCTACCCCTGTGCTTGCCTTGGGACCAGAAACAACATCATGTGCACTGCCAAGACAGAAGTCAGGAGGAGCCCAGGGTACAGGGCACATTTCCTTATAAGCCCTATCCAGAGTCTTGATATTTGGGGTTTCTTCTCATTTGGGAGTCCCTCCAACACACTTGTGTGGAGCGGCAAGTTAGCAGAAATTAGTGAGCCATAAGTGCAGTGCAGTGGGCAACAGTAGTCAGAATGAGGTCTTGTCTGTCTCTTAAGATTTGTCGAGTGTCGACAGTACATTCTATAGGATAAACTATGGCCAAGGTGAAAATTCAAACAGATGTCACAACAGGATATAATAGCATAATAGCAGAAATTAGTGAGCCATAAGTGCAGTGGCAGACACAGACAGACCTTGCTACCCCTGTGCTTGCCTTGGGACCAGAAACAACATCATGTGCACTGCCAAGACAGAAGTCAGGAGGAGCCCAGGGTACAGGGCACGTTTCCTTATAAGCCCTATCCAGAGTCTTGATATTTGGGGTTTCTTCTCATTTGGGAGTCCCTCCAACACACTTGTGTGGAGCGGCAAGTAAGTATGCCTTTCAAAAGCCACTGAGGCTGCTATAGCAGCCTCTGGGGGGAAAACACTAAATCCTCTGTAATGAAAGTTTTGTGTAAGTATGCCTTTCAAAAGCCACTGAGGCTTCCATAGCAGCCTCTGGGGGGAAAACACTTAAATCCTCTGTAATGAAAGTTTTGCGAAAGTTGCAGTTCACAGCTTTGGTATGCACATTGCCTATGAAAGCAAAGTGATTGCAAAGAGGACCAGATCCTGGAAACCTTGTGCTTAATTTTCACTAATTCTAGGCATGAAACATTTTTTTTTTTTTTCCACTGCTGGGCACATTCTTGAGATGATAGTAAAAATGTATTTCATTCTCAAGGAAGAGTAAGTGGCAGAAACCTTGGAAAATCCTTGAAATCAGAATTATTATTTTTTTTGCTGCAGGCCACTGATAGATAACATTTCAGTAATTTCAGGTTTAACCTTTTCCTTTTTGATCTCTTTTATCCAAATTTACTAACATTTTGAAATAAAAGGACTGTATTTTCACAACCAGGGTTTCAGCAGCCACCTGCAAATTCAGGTAACTCTTCTGTTTGAGACATCTCAGTCCTTTTAGTGAAATTTTGGTAAGTTTTCTCAGTAACCATTGCAGGTACATGCAATGTTTTATTGAAATCCCAGGCTGGACATCTGGGGTACATTTATTCTGTCTCCAGAGTTTGAATGCACAGATTGTTCTGCAGAGCTAGTTGCAGGTTGTTAAACTGGGGAATACACAGAAGTTTCCTTCCAGTTTCGGTCCAATGTTCCTTCCCACAAACCTCATGCTGTGAGATTTGGATGTGGGATTGTTGCATTATCAGCTCTTGTAATTCCCCGTGTCAGGCAGAGGCTTAGAAACCTGAACATGACTTCAGGTGATTTTTTGCTTCATTTTATGCATTTGTTTACCCCTACAAGCTTTAATATCGAAAAAAGCACGTATTTCTCTAAAACAGATGATGCTTCATAACCTTCCTCTAGCCTCCTCTTACCCTTTCATGCCTTCCCATCCCAATCTATTCTCCTCCTTCGTTGTTGATTTTGAAATATTCACTCTGCATGTCTATCTCCCAGTATCAGTGTCTGGGAGGAATGACGACTGGGACTAAAGTTAAGTATGGGAATCTAGGGAGCTGGAATTTGCCCTCATCAATAGCAGAGCTGGGTGTCTGTGAGAAAATGCTCTATCTATCAGATTATTAGTTTTTTCATCTGGCAAAGAAATCTGTTCTTACATTGCATAATATATGTGTGGTTTGAGATACGTACACAGAAGGCTTATATATAGGTGCTTGAGTTATTTTTTTCTGATACTACTTTGGTTGTGAAAATACGGTATTTTTGTTTCCTTTTCAGCTGCGGTGAAAAAGGAAGGGGAGAAGAAAGGTAAATAAATTATTTTTCCCTTGACTGAAGTGTCTGTCAGGCTGTGACCGCTGTGAAAAATGTTTCTTTCATTCAGTGATACAATTGAGATGACACACACCACCTCATGTGCGACCATCAGCTGCCTTTATCTACTCCTACTGTGATAACACAGTTGTCATTTCCAGTGTTGTTAGCTCCTTCTTACCACAGGCCAAACCAGCCCAGTATCAGACACTTCATCGTTCTGATTGGGAAGAAAATGAAAGGCTTTTGTTAGGATTTGTCAGAGGACAAAACTTGCAGTGCGCCGTGCATGCTGACCTGGCTGTTTGTTCTTGGCAGAAGGCGCTTTTCTAGGGACATTTAATTTCCTCTTTTCAGATATACATGTAGAATGAATGTAAGCTTTGCTGAAGTCATTCTTTGGTATTTTAACAGGTTAGTAGAAAAATTTCCCCGGAATTGGAACCGAAAACAATGCTTAAAATGTTTAAAGATAAATATACTGTATTTATCAAATTGTAAATAACTATTTATAGTGTTGTCTTTCAAAATAAGATTCGTTGAGTTGAAACATTTTTTTTTTGTAATTTGACAATTTTATTTCAACTGCAAAAATAATGAAAATTAGCACAAAGGTGCTATTTTTCTTTAATCTATTCAACTTTGTTTATTATTTGGTTTATAATCCATATCTTACTCATTAAACTGGGAAAGTTTCCAGAACTTTTCCATAGATTTCAGAGGATTGTTTGAGATTTAGTATTGAGTAAATAAAGGGGGGGTCTTTATTTCTGAAGATTACTGATGGGATGGTTAGTATCTGGGGGGGGGGTGGGGGGGAAGTGACTTTTGTCATTTCAGAAAGGTTTGGAAATTCTGTGATTCACATAGTCAAGCAATGGAGCCAGCCTTTGCTTTCCATACATGAAGACGTTTTCAAGCCTGCTAATTTATTATTTTTTCTGTTATCCCTATACAGAGTCATTAACTGAACTGGAAAAAAAAATGATAGTCTCAACTATTTTAACAGCTCATGAGTGAAATCTTGGCTGTGTTGATGGTAGTGGCAAAATTCCCATTCACTCCACTGGAGCCAAAATTTCACCTCATGTGTTTAAGAGAATAATAAAATTCATTTTGGTTATCAAAAACAACCATGCTTTATAGGTATCAAGCAGGATATTTTTGTCCAAAGATTAATTTGCAGCAACCGAGGCATGAAAGGCAGCACATGAAGCAGGGACAATCAGAAAACTGGCAACTACACTTACAGCCATTGGTTTTCAGACACCAAAATGCCTGCTGTGTTCACAGCCTTGAATTTATCACATGGACTCTTACATCCTTTATGGAAACGAAGGCGTGAGGTAATTGCTCAGGGTCCTACTTCAGTTAGCCTTGCCATAGGTTATGGGTCCATTCATTTACAGAAGAACATCAAGGGAATTTGGTTGAAATACCTACTGCTTGCACTTGGTTCATTTTTTACAGGTTAGGATTTTTTTCCTCCTTAACCATAGTCTTCTCCAAAAAAAAAAATTATTAAACAAAAGCATTCTTAATGAACATTTTTTGAAGTTGGATCAATTTTTCCATTTAATTTTCTTTTTTATGTATTTTCTGCTACAAAATAATTTACTGTAATTTCTCAATTTGTTGAAGGGATTTTGCCTGCAAGTATAGGTAAGATACTTTCAAGCACATGGCTCGGGGCAGGGTATACCTCATCCTGCCCATTACCACCAACGTACTTCACAGAAACATGGAGGTGCGAACTGAAATTCAGCTCTGGTCATTCTTCTGATATAATAATTTTATTTATTTTCAACTAAACCTCCCTTTGGTTTTCTGAGATCATAACCAACATTGCCAGCAATGAAGGTAGTGATTGTAGTGAAAAACACACTAGTCCAAAGAAATTTTCCAGTAACTCAGGGAAACTGGTTCAGCAATGTTACTGCCTTCAGTAGGTAAACACTAAACTGGGCAACTGGAGAGAAGTGACAAGGCCTCTTCCCAAAAATGAATGTACCATGCTTTGTCTTTCTCATCTAGCTTCACATTCTCTGCAGGCCCCACACAGAAAATATTGCATGTTACTTGCTAACTCCCCAAATCATCAGGTTTTATTTATTTCTACTTATTCTGTTATCATTAAAAGTTGCTCCAGGCTACATGTGTAGCCTTGCAGTAAAAAGGGGAAATGTTTGCTGGTTTTGCTTAAGGAGACAGTATTATTTTACCCAGCTGCAAAAACAATAGAAGTAGCCAGGCAGTGCTCTAAATTGACTGGCTCATTATCCAAAATATATTGTGGTAGGAGCATGCACGGTCCAAATACCACTTTATCATCTCTCATGCGAATCATGCAGCACATATGCACTGTACTGTATACAAAGCTTTCTCCAATTATTCTGCTTATTCAAATACACATCCCTTGCTTAGAAAAACAAGAATAATGAGCAATACAGAGTGACAAACCATCATAAAAAGAGAAGGTGAAATGACACTTTCTATCAATGGTACATTCTGTGTGTAGCATAAATCAGACATGAAGGAGTTTGAAAGAGATAGAAAAGAGCAAAATTCAGATGGAGGTAACTTACATGTTTCACTGACTTCTCCAAATATGAATGATACTAACAGGAACCTTAAGGTACTATTTATACATCAACTGTTTCCATTTGAAAGGTTAGGTCTCAAAGACTTTGTGACTGTAGTCCTAAAAAATAGTCAGCTTCAGCTTCCAGCATCATGTTATGCCTTCTTTCAAAATGTGTGGGATAGAGAAGCTGTCATGGAAATATTTTAAAAAATTGTCAGTTCCTAAAGGGCAAAAGGTAGCAACCCTTTGCATGAGGAAAGCACTTCCTAATAGCCTCAAGAGCAAATCTGTTTGCCAGTACAGTAAAACGTTTGACGCTTGATCGTAATTCAAAGCACTGCAAGCAGGAATTCAAGTGAATTACAATAGACCCAGGTATTGGTGATATGAGATAAAGCTCATCAGATTCAGGGCACCTCCAGAAAACAATTGAGAGAGCAAAATATTTCAGCTTTTTTTCAGTTGTAAGTGCCTTCTTAAAAGGAAAGAAAAGTTAATATTTTTAAACCAAAAAAGTATTTTTACATTTCAAAAATATTTCAGAATCACAAAGAATTAAAGAAATGCTTTGTGTGAAATTGAGCCAGACTAAAGCCAATTTCACGGTTTCCTCGTTCTGCATAAAACTGAATTTCTTATTGATTCATTCTCATCTCCTTACTGATTTCTTACTATAGAGAGCACGGACTGAGATGGGGATGTCAAGCAAACAACCTTAACAAGCTTAATAAGTTCTCTCTCCAGGTCAGTGTCAGGAAAGCTTGCCTGAAGACTGGTTACTTCTGTGATTTTAGTGAACCCAGAGAGTATTTAACCATCACACCATCCCTGTGGGTTACACATCCACATGCATAGGTGTAAGAAGAACCACCTCATTGTTTAAAGTGAATCATAAACCTGAGTTGCCAGGAAGATGGTCTCTCCAGACTCCCTACAGACGGAGAGAGAGAGCTCTGTCTTGCTTCTGAGAGCATGCTAGAGTGAGCATCTAATTCAGGGTAGTCATCTTCTGGGAGTATCATATCTTATATAGGCTGCCTATAGTTAGATGTTATGAGAACCTGTAAGCTAGTGAGACGCAGAAGATAGTTCCCTGTCGATCACATGACTCCCGTTTTGATTTTCAGCTTTATCACTCCAACAGCTTGCTCTTATATTTATTTAACAGTTTTTAGAAAGCCAAAAACCACATTCATCTGACAAGTTTCAGCAACAATAAATTGACAGGAAAATATGTAGGATCACATTTTGACCTTTCCCAATAAAAGCATCATGGTCTAAAAAGCTGCATATAGTCTGAGTGCAGCTAATATCAAACAAATGCAGAAAATGGGAACAGCATCTACACTCCAGGTCCAAACTACATATTTTTGCCAATCCAGTAAAGGGCCACGTCTTTCAATTACTCCTGGTAATGGTACCCTATGCATCTCTTGGAAACTGCTGCTCTGCATGCAGAGTGTGGTATAAACTGACCGAGGCACAGCAGTGTCCCTTTTCAATGCATATAAAAATCAAGATGCTTTCCAAACTGGAAAGGAACTGAGCAATACAGCATTTCAGAACTGCTCAGCTTTGGACTTGACCAGAAGAAATGGAAAGTGGTTTTTATTCATAAAGCAAATGGTCACGGCAGTGCGGGGGTTCTGCTCAGCTGCAAATGCCACTGGTGAAATATGAGCCACACCTTCATTATGTAGTTTTCTAATATGCCTCAAAGAATAGGAAAGTGGTATACCTAATTCTGTAAATGCGAAGTGCGTTACACAGCCCCCTGATAGAATGTGTATTCCTAAACAGAGGGGGAAAAAAAAAAAAAAGCAGAAATATTTTTTAAAAGTATATCTTAAAATAGTGTCACAAAGTCAGTATTATGTATGAGAAAAAAAGAAAACCAATCATATGCTACTACGCTCTTTCAACTAGCAGTGCTGTGGTTGAAGGTAGGCTGTTATTTAAATTTATGAATTTAGTGAAAAGTGTTGAGCCCACTGCACTCACCCTTCGTCTGCCTGCTTTCTACTTATATGGAATGGGTACTCTGGAGGGAGTTTTCTGGTTGTGTGGTTTTCTGGTTTCTGAGACCCCCCTCAAGAGGTAACAATCATTGAATTAGCCACAAGATGGAGCCCAAAGGATCTTCGAGACTGGAGTTAACATCTCCTTTCTGAATCATATTAAGAACTAAATAATACGGTTTTACTGACGAACAGTTTATGGGAATCTTAAGCTACAGATAACGTCTTCTTCAATGTGAATCCACTCCTGCCTAAAGATATTTTTCATTTAATAGATGACTGGCCATACACTGGTGAGCTTTGACTTCCCACCCTGAAGCAACAAACCCCCAGCATTTTCAAGGAATATTGATGAATTAAGAATTTGCATGAAATATGGAAAATGCTTTGAA